AGGAGAGACTTGACAATGACCTATAGATGTTTGTGGAAAAGAGCTCTGGGGTTAGACCGCCAGGCCCAAACCTGCTGAGCCCAGTCTCTTATCTCCAGGAGCAGGTCAGGCGAGGGGAGAAGTTTCTACAGCCACTGGCTGGCTGGGAGGCTGCTGAACTGGGGCCCGCTGGGGCCCGCTTTCTGGCCCGGCAAGCGAAGCTGACTGACTTCTCCAGGGCTTTGACCCGGCGGCGGCAGCGGCTGGCAGATGCAGAGAGGCTATTCCATCTTTTCAAGCAGGTAGGTGGGGTGTCCTGTCCCCGGCTCCAGGTGGTCGGGGGGGATGAAAGGGTAGCTGCCTAGCCCTACCACAGCCTGAGCTGTCTCAGGACATTCTGCCTGTTTTCTCTTCTTGTCTTCAGGTTGACCCCAAAATCCAGCCGATGGGGGGGTGGGGGTATGGCCTGAGCCATCATCCTGTGGGGATGGGGACTGGGTAGAAGAGAATGCTTGGTGGTCTGGTGGGCTCCACCTTCACTGCCTTTCTGGCTTTGGTGTTATAGGCCTCGACATGGGCTGAGGAGGGGCAGCGAGTGTTGGCAGAGCTGGAACAGGAGCACCCAGGGGTTGTGCTGCAACGGCTGCAGCTGCATTGGACCAAGCACCCTGATTTGCCTCCTGCCCACTTCCGAAAGATGTGGGCTCTGGCCACAGGGTTGGGTTCTGAGGGCATCCGCCAGGAGTGCCGCTGGGCCTGGGCACAATGCCAGGACACCTGGCTGGCACTGGACCAGAAGCTAGACGCCGTACTGAAGCCACCACTGACGACGACCATGACAGTCAGCACGGCTAGCCTGTGTGTCAGCAGAGTCCCAGCTGCATCTGCCACCCCTCCCCTGAGGAAGGCATACAGCCTGGATCAGAATTTAGGGCAGAGTCTCAGACAGCCTGCCCACCACTGCCACCACGTGGCCACTGCGGCTGCCTGCCACGGACCGGAGACTGGAGGTGGTGCCCAGCCAGGGTCATCCCCTACCATGCCTCTGCCAAGCACCTCCGACCCCAGGAGCCTCAGCAGGTACAGGCAGTGGGCAGAGCAGGGAGGGCAGTGGCAGGAGAGAAGTCCTTAATCCTGATTCCACCTGTTTGGTAGGCTCCAGCTGGTGCTGGCGGAGATGGTGGCTACGGAGCAGGAGTATGTCCGTGCTCTTGACTACACCATAGAGAACTACTTCCCTGAGTTGGATCGTCCTGATGTGCCCCAGGGCCTCCGTGGGCAGCGTGCCCACCTCTTTGGCAACCTGGAGAAGCTGCGGGACTTCCACTGTCATTTCTTCCTGCGTGAACTGGAGTCCTGTACCCAGCATCCATCCCGGGTAGCCTATGCCTTCCTGCGCCATGTAAGCCCATAGGCCACATGAGCCCTAGCTGATTCGGCCACACTCAACAGAGTTAGCTCTTGGGTGCATGCTTGGTGCCAGGCTTCTGTGCTAGGTACAGCAATGAGCAAGACCAGCAAGCTTCCTGCCCCTCTGGGTGCTCATAGAAGAAGAGGCATAGAAATAAAAAAGGGCACTCTAGATTATAGTTGGGGCCAGGAAGAAAATAACCAAGATAGATGATTGTGAATTAGTGGTGGTGCAGGAGTGGGGCAGTTAGAGGCCTCTTTAAGGAGTTGATGTTTAAGCTGGGGCCAGAGGGAGGGACTAGAGTCAGAGTGTTCCATCCAGAGGAAAGATCAGGTTGAAAGGAAGAGGCAGGTCAAAGTGGCTGAGTGTAGTGGGCAAGAGAAGGGGTAGTATGAGGTGAGGGATCCCAGAGTGGCGTTCCCAGAGCAATGGGAGGAGCAGAGGCCCTGTGGGCAAGCCCCGTTCTGCACAGTGCCTATTCTTGCCAGGGTACCCTTCATTCAAAACCAGGCAGATTGGATCAGGGGAGGCTTCCCTTGGAGCTGTGTGTTGGCATTTTGGTCCTCTAAAGCTGAGTGTATCTGACCCATGGGGGTCAGACTTTGGAGGCTGGCCCCCTTGCACCTGGGCTGAGCTGTATGTCCTCACAGAGGGTGCAGTTTGGGATGTATGCACTCTACAGCAAGAATAAACCTCGCTCCGATGCCCTGATGACCAGCTTCGGTCATGCCTTCTTCAAGGTAGATGAGCCTAAGACTGGAGGGGTGGAGGGGGTGGAGGAAGTGCCCTGAAGCCACCTGATGGTCTCCCACACACCTGGCAGGACAAGCAGCAAGCACTGGGGGACCACTTGGACTTGGCCTCCTATCTGCTGAAGCCCATCCAGCGCATGAGCAAGTATGCATTGCTGCTGCAGGAACTGGCACGGGCCTGTGGGAGTGCTGTGCAGGAGCTGAGTGCCCTGCGGGCTGCCCAGAGCCTTGTGCGCTTCCAGCTGCGACATGGCAATGACCTGCTAGCCATGGATGCCATTCAGGGCTGTGATGTGAGTCCTGCTAGGCCGTGGGGGACAGTGCATGTGAAGGGAGGGGGCAGCAGAGGCTGGACACTCACTGGGCCCCAACTTGGCAGGTTAACCTCAAGGAACAGGGGCAGCTGGTGCGACAGGATGAGTTCATGGTACGCACTGGGCGCCGTAAGTCTTTGCGCCGCGTTTTTCTTTTTGAGGAGCTGCTGCTCTTCAGCAAGCCCCGCCGAGGACCCACAGGCACCGACACATTTACCTATAAGCGTTCCTTCAAGGTAGGCCCACCTGACCCTTCCTGTGCTCCCAGCCCCCTTCCCCCACCCAGTGCCTCACCAATCCCCTCTCCTGGCCACACAGATGGCAGACCTGGGCCTCACTGAGTGCTGTGGGGATAGCAACCTGCGGTTTGAGATCTGGTTCCGCCGTCGCAAGGCTAGGGACACCTTTGTGCTGCAGGCTGCCAGCTTGGCCACTAAGCAGACTTGGACGGCTGACATTTCTCGTCTGCTCTGGAGGCAGGCCATCCACAACAAGGGTGTGTCCCTGTCCCCTGCTTCAATGAAAGATCCCCTCTCTCGAGAGCTTACAGTGTCCCACAGGGGCCTAGGCAGGGCCTAGGGACCAGGAAATGCTTGGGAGCATGGAGGTCCAGCAGCAGCAGCCAGTGTAGGGGAAAGAACTGCAAGGTCAGGCAGTCCTAGTATCGCTGTCCCTGACTGTGGGCACAGTATTAAACTCTCTGAGTAGCAGAGACCTTATCTTTAAAAGGGCAATACCTGCCCCCAGGATTGTTGGGAGGAGAGCATGGCACCAGAAGGGCTCAATGCACAGGATGGGCGATCTGTTGGGTATGGATGTTCAGGAAGGACTCACTCGAGGGGGTGGGTGGACAGAGGCCCAAGGACAAGGCTGATGCGCACCTATTCCCACTCTCCACCCAGAGGTGCGCATGGCTGAGATGGTGTCCATGGGTGTGGGGAACAAGGCCTTCCGGGACCTCGCCCCCAGCGAGGAAGCTATCAACGACCGCACTGTCGACTATGTCCTGAAGTGCCGAGGTAGCAGGCAGGCTGCAGGGGGCGTGGGGGAGGAAGGCTGCATGGGAGGCGACGTGAACTTCTGTCATCAGCCCTTGCCTGTGCTCCCTGCAGGACCCTGGCCCAGGTGGGCTCTGGCCTGTCCAAACCTGACCCTCTCTCTTACACAGAAGTTCGCTCTCGGGCCTCTATTGCTGTGGCCCCATTTGACTGTGACAGCCGCTACCTGGGGGCCTGGAGTCCCCTTCCTGGAGACCCCGCCTCTTGCTCCGTACTGGGGTCCCTCAACCTGCACCTGTACAGAGACCCGGCTCTTCTGGGAGTCCGCTGGCCCCTGTATTCTACCAGCGTCCCAGAGGAAGCAGCGCTGGAAGCCGAGGTGGAGCTGGGCAGTCAGCTGTCTTTGAGTAGGTCTCAAAGATACCTGGCAGAGGCAGGCTGGTATCGCTTAAGGTCTGGCCATCCCTTGCTGACAGCTTACCTTCCTCCTCCCTAGCTCCTGAGGACTCAGAGGTCTCATCCCAATGCCCATCAGTCAGTGGATCCAGTGGCTCTGACAGCAGCTGTGTGTCAGGGCAGGCCCTGGGCAGGGGACTTGAGGACTTGTCCTGTGTGAGTACCATTTTGTCCTGTATCTGCCAGCCCCAGCCCAGGCCGATGGCTGCCTTTCCTTTAGGTGGAAATGGGGGTGGGTGGGCCAGGGCCATAAACTAGAGATCCCCCTTGGACCCTGAGTTGAGGAAACAAGCAGTCATGCCTAGCTTGTCAACCACAGGTCTGAGCCCAGGCTGGAAGACAGACGGTGGATCCAGCAGCTTTTGCTCCAAGAAATGTCACCTCTCAGGATCTGCTGTGACCAGAGTGTGGCTGCCAGCTGGGCCACCTCCAGCCCATGTGCACTACCCTATTGACTACTCTTTATGATATCTGTGCCCAGTGGCAGACTGGCATGGACTTCTCCTAAGGAGCCTGGCTGCAAAGCCTGAATGACTACCCTGATTCTTAGCTTCTGGCCCCATGTCCCCTTCTCTTCCCTCTCCAATTCCCACCCCAGTTACGGGTTAGAATTAGGCTAGAGCTGAGTGTGGGTATTTCCATGCTCTTGGCTGGTGGTACCCTACCAGCCCTGTGGCTTTGGGCAGCAACTGGGCTGCCCCTACCCTCAGGAGGAACATAGGTGGGTTCCCAGCTGTTGTTTCCCAACCGCTGGTCTTAAGGCCAGCTTCTCAAATGTAGGGCAACCCCACCCCTATTGTACCCTTAACTGTTGACTGCCCTGGCTGCCCAAGTCCAGCTCTTCTTTTCCTGGGTTAGTTTGGTTATATTGACTCAACATCTTTTGAATAGCTTTCAGTTAGAGTTGTTAACTAAAATTATTTCAGTGGTTGTTAGGTCTTTGGTGTCTCAGAGAGAGTCCAGGCCCTTGACTCGTAAATTACTCTTTATTTATAATAAAAATAGACTGACACACCTTCAGATGGGCACACACATTCTTAAAATGAGCCTTGGCAGGTGGGGGTTATGTGAGGGCGCATTTCTGGTCACCCTAGCCCTCTTGTAAGTACTTGCCCAGGATAGAGTAAGAGATGGACCTTGACAGGCCCCTCTGGATGAGCAGGTCCATGCAGCAACCATATTTCCTGGCGAAAGGCAGTGTGAGCTAGAAGGAAAGGCCCGTCTTATCCCTGGCTGGTTCCCTACTCTAGCACTGTGTGGGCGGGGTCCTCCCATCTGGGGGCAGGGGTAGGGCAAGGTCTGTGGCCTCTGATGCTCTCAGGCTCAGTTTTGCCCAAACACTTCTCACAAGGCTGTGGCTAGGAGTGGCTACCAGAATGACCAGAGGGTCAAAAATGTATGTTTTGGGCCACTGGTTTTCCATTTTCTAGCTGGAGATGCTGACATTACCTTTCCAATCAATAGACCAACCAGAGGCCTAATAGTATAGGCAACTGGTGTGTTTAGGATAAAGTGTCATAATAAGGTACTTGATTATAGAAATACCAGATTAATGAGAAATTAGCTAAATCTTTTTCACCTACAATGTTAAAATAAAAACTTACAACTCTAAAATTATTTTAAGGAATCAAAAAACCAAAAGGATCAATCCTTTGGTTTTACGGAACATTTTTTTGGTAAAGAACGCTTTAAAGCAGCTCATACATGAAAGGAACGTACAAAAGTGGTGATATAGCTAAGTAGGTAAAGTCAGTATCACCCATTAATAAGGTCTGACTCCTAATAGTTTCTCTGATTTCAGCACCCCAAAAGCTTGGGCTCACATGATGTGCTTCCCAGCATGGTCAGGGGTGTTAGTGATGAAGGCAAAATTGGTACCATTGGAGGAAAATCAACAAAACCAGTGGCCCTAATACTGCTTTTTGATCACTCTGGACTGGGTAATTTCAGCTCTTGTTTCTCCCTCCTTGGGACCAGGGACTGGAGGTCTAGCTGCCTGCCTTGCCTTTTGGGCAGTACTGGCCTGGCCTTCATGCAGCAGGACAGTATCCATTTGAGGTATAATGGAGTCAACATTCCCAGTGGGGTACTGGCCCTCACCTCCACCCAGCTGTACAGGCGTTCCTGGGTGTGCCGGTCATCCTTGAAGCCGGTGATGGCCAGCAAATCCACCACAAACTGCTTGGGGCTGATGTTCAGGGTCTGCCAGGAGAGCCCCTGGTCAGACAGGGCTGGAAGCAGCTGCCCGACACACATTTGCTCCCTGTCTTTCAGAGTGGGATGCAGAGCAGGGGCTTCCCTTGGTCTTCAGGAGTTACAGGGATCAGGGGCTGTCATTCCAAACTACCTCTTGGTCAAGGCTTGGTTCAGATGACACTGCCCTGTCTTCCTATCCGTGCTCTTCTTGCCACCCTTGTGCCCCTGACCTATTACCCTTGACTTGCTTCCCCTTGCCTGGTACCACTTATTGTGGGGACAGGGGGACAGACAGGTAGAGAAACAAGGTCTGAGGCTTGTCAAACATACCCACAGCCGGTTGGTCAGGGAGACCACCTTGGCTGTCATGGCTTTGGGGTCCTTTTGCCTGATGGAATCCAGGATGATGTCAGTCAGGAAGCGGTGACATTTTTGTGCATAAAACATCTCTTCCCAGGATAGAGAGAAGCTCAGGAAAGTCACCTCTGTGGAGAAGAGAGTAGACTGGCCACAGTTGCCTGTGGCTAAGGCCTTAGAGCCAGCCTGGAATAAGGGGAGAAGTGTAGGGTACCTGAGGGAGACTTTCTTCCTGAAGGACCCTGGGTAGGGGTTCAGGCATCTCCACAAGGAAGTACAGGGCCAGGTATGGCTTCAGAGTGAGTCTCACCTTTGGGCTGGGGGCTGGCCGTAGGTGGTGTATGCTTGAGGTTGTCGATCTGTGTGGTGTAGATGATGCTGTCCTCAAAGAACATGCAGGAGCCATCACTGCCCACTACAGGGGGATGGGTCACTTTGAGGATGACCCCTGCATTATCCATCTCAGCCTCAGGCAGAGGCTGCTCAGGGCCAGGGCTTTCTGTGAAAACAACATGGGGGGGGGGTCCTCCTTGAGCCACTTCAGAGCCCAAGCAGGGAAGGAGCCTCTGGTGACAGATCAGCACAGACAGTTACCCTAACTTTCCGCCTCCAGCTTTTCAGAAGTGGCACCCTCTGCTGATAGGGGCCTGTCCTGGCTCTTGTCTCTCCATTGTCTTTGAAGCATCACAAGCCCAATCCTACATTTCAGAACAACAAGGAACTCTCCAAATCCCTCTTGAACTAAGGCTGGTATTAACTAGAGCTGATAATACTCTAGGTGGGGGACTGGAAATCATTGGAAAACTGTAAAATGGGAGGACCTTTTTGGGTGAGCTTTCTGACATGTCTACTCTGAAGAGTACATTAGACTGACCAACTCAGGGCTCACAGGCAGGGCACAAGAAGGCCCCTCCAAGGAGGGCCTAAGACTTTAAAAGGAAAAGCAAAAGAATACTGTAGAAAGATGAGGGAACAGAGGAAATAGCCCAACATGGCAATTCTCAGCATACTCCCCTGGGTCATCTCCACAGTGCCCCACCACACACAACATGCCTCTCTCTTCAGCTCTTTCTCCTGTCTGTCCCACCTCAGCAATCACCCACCTCCTGCAGTCACACAGGGCAGAAACCTGGCCCCTCTCTGTGTGGATCCTTTCCTACATCCTTCCCCCCGCAACAGCCTAGCTTGTTTGACCTAGGATGACCTTCTGCTTCTAATACTTCTGCTTCTGTTGTTGCATTTCCTCTACTGGTGGAGCAAGCTCTCAATGCACACCTGACTGCTTGCTCCCTTGTTTAAAATTCTTCAGTGGCTGCCCATACCCTGTAGGATCAGAATAAAGTACCAAGTCCTGAACTTGGCCCACAAGACCTGTCCTGATAAATTATGTCCTCAGCCCTATTTCCTATGACTTCCCTATGTGAAGCCTGGCCTCCAGAGCTAGACCAAAGACCTGTGTTTCCACAAGCAACCGAGACTTCTACTTCCTTCCCCTTATTACTCCCTAACCTCCAGCTTCCTTTGTGCTCCTATTATTTCATAGACACCCTCTTCCCATATGCTTCGTGCAGACTCTTGGCCCCACAAGCCATGCCAGTGTGTTGGTCATCTCTGTCTGCTGCTTTGCAGATCTGATGTCAGCGAATAGAGAGTTCTAGTCCCCTTTTGTCACTAATTCACTCCATGGTCTTGGCCAGGGTTTGTCCTCTCTGTTGTTAAATGACACTCAGGTTAAGGATGGGGCAGGACTCACCTTTCTCCCTTGGCTTCTGCTTGCCCCAATCCTTCAGGGTAACAGCTCTTTTCACAGGGAAGTATGGCTTAAAGGTTGGCTCCAGCCCCTTGTCTTTGGCTCCAGCTCCAGCCCCTGCCTGTTGACCCAGGTCCTTCTCTGAGCCTGTGGAATGTCCTTTCCAGGAAGCTGAGGTGACAGGCTGGGAAGCAGCCTCACTTCCCGAAGGGGGCTGCAGGGTAGCTTCCTCCATGGAGCTGCTCTGGGGAACTGGCACTGGCTGGAATTCCCACTGTTTACAATTGACCATGTCCCATTCCCTTACCAGGGAGATGAGTTTTTGCATAGGGGTGACAGGAGGGTCTTTGGTTTCAGGTTTCTGTGTGAGGTTGACTGTGGTGCATTTCTTCTTGGGAGGACTCTCAGGGTGGCCCCCCCAGTATCTGGGGTTGGCACATAGGCCAGGACAGTGGGAGTATGTACTGGGATTGCCCGCCCTCTTGGCACCTTGGCACAGGGACACCTGGATGGCCTGGGAGTACTGCTCAGCCTCCTCCATCTGACTGGATCTGGCCAGGGTTCCCTTGGCCTTGTTCCATGGAGTCCTGTCATTGCAGTCTTGGAAGTCCACAGGCATGCAGGCTGTGGTCTAGGGAAGGAGGACACAGCAGCTGTGGGAATTTTGTGTTTCCACATTGAAGCTTCACCTGAGACCTAACAATCTGGGCCTTCAAGACCTCACTTGCTCACACAGATCAATCCCATCCTCCACAGAGGTCAGCCACTTGAGCTTTGCTCAGCCTGAATGGGGGTGATGCCATCCCAGGGGCCTCTCATATTCCAAAGGAACATACTATCAGCATTCTAGGCCACAAGTGGCCAACACCTCCCTGTACCTCCTTCAATTTTCAGACATAGTTACCACACTAGGAATCCATGTAGGCCCTGCTCCTTAATTCAGCTATGCCCCTCAGTAGCAGAGCCCACCCCTGAACCTGTGGCAGCACTCTCACTCAGGACAACACCAAGCCAAAGAAGGCTGGGGCTTACTTCTTTGGCGTCTCTACTGAACTCCACCAGAGACCCTGGCCCTTCCGTCACCACATGCAGCCTCCTGATGGAGGCTTCTTCATTTTCAGATTCTTTCTCCTGGGTCCATGACCTGCAGACTCCAAGAGGGAGTCAGTAAGCAGAGGCTTCTACTAGCCATCGACCAGTTGGTCAGGTCTGCCCTTTGGCTAGTTAACTTTAGACAGTGGAGGAGAAGGGCTCTTAAAAGGTTTCACTTAGGTCATTGGCCAATCTTGGGCCTGTTCCACCCCCTGAGCCCCAAGGAGAATGGAGAGGTGGGACTTAAGACAGGATTCTCAAGAGGACTATAAAGGTCCAAACTCCAGCATGTGGTGTCCAGAGCAAAGTTTCCTTACTTGTATGCCTGACATTGGGCAAGGGCCTCTGAGAGGGATGGGATGTGGTATTCCTCTACCTCCTGGCAGAACAGGGGCCATTCCCTGCAAATGACAAGATGTCATCAGGCTGGGCAGCTGGGGCGGGAGTGTGGGTGGAGGCACAGCCTTCAGAGCTGCTGCCTTGACCAGCAGTTGACATACTGGAAATAATAAAACCTCCTTCCTGAAGGCTACAAACTCAAGGTTTTTTTTGTTGCAGAAGGGGTTTTATCACATAATTTATTTCCATTTGTCACTTACTTAAATTCAGATGGTAAAAACAGTTTTCCAAGTCTCAGGAAGTTGAGAATATGTCGGAACATTTGGCCATCCCCGTGGATCAGCAGGGTCTGCCCATAAGTGATCCAGTACACTCTTTGAGGGTTGGACAGAAGTTCTGGATACTGCAAGGGGTTGTACACCAGACTCTGTTAGTCTTTTAGTTAAAGGGCAGGTCAGTCTTCTCTTCATTTTCTCATCCGTTCTAGAACAGGCTTTGGGACTTCCATCTCCTTGTCTTATTAGCCACAGGGAGCCATCATGGGGAGCCAAGCATCCAGGGACAAGAACATCCCTGCTTCAAGTTTTGCTGGATTCTAGACCAGATAACCCTCTCAAGGCATTTGTAACCCTACTCTGCATCTTGCTTGATCCAGACCCCTCAGATTGGTCTCCTCCCTACCCAAACTCTTGAGGACCTTCCTAGCATGCGGCTCATATACTAAGAGCATTTTCAGCCATGGAGCCCAAATGTCTTATTCTAAGCAAGTGCTAGGGGCTCTGTGAGGCTCAGGTGACAAGATTCTAAAACAGCTCAGCCACAGAAGCCACAAAAGAAAGGAGGGTAGCCTGGGGCCAGCATACCTTCAGTAAGGTCTGCAGGGTGGTTGCATACCAGTGGCTTCCAACATAAACTTTGATGATCTGTTGCGGGGAATACACAGTGATTTCTGCCATCCATTCCTCATCTAAGGAAACCAGTGAGAAGGAACATACCGCATGACCAGAAGGGAAATTAGGTAGGGCATTTTGGTTAATATCATATGCTAAGACTCAGTATTTTCATTAGGTTGTGTTGCCTTCTCTGAGGAGCAGCAGAAATCCTAGACACCACTCCTCTCAGGCCTTCCCTGCAGCTCACCATACAATTTCCTGGGTGGTGAGGTAGGTTTGTAATGGCAGCTTGCAAGGTCAGCTGGTGACTCTGGGGGTGGGAATGGTGAGACCTCTAAAATCTCATCCCCAAGGGTACTGATGCTCTTCCCCTCACCCACCTCTCTCAAGAAAGCTGGACTAATGTTCCTGTCTACCTGCATTGCCAACTGCCTCTGGTTTCTGGCTGGGTGTATAACTTCATGTGGAAAGGAGTCCCTCTGTATATTTGTGTGTATAGTTTGGTAAATGTCACATTGCCATCTCATCAAATCATCGTCACTGCTATAGAGACCAAGCTTCTAGCCATGTCTGGAGAATGGGGCTTTATTTTGAGAAGATGAATCCAAGACCGTTTTTCTGGGGGACTAGACTTAGGCTTTGTCTGATGTTTGGGAACCAGTTTCTAATGAGCTTTGTAATGAGTAAAGGGTAAATAACCAGGTTATTTAGTTAAGTAAGAGGAATATCATTAGATTGTGAACTCCATGAAGATGAGGACTGGGTCCATTTTGCTCACTTCTATACTCCTAATTAGGTCTACTTCTTTCCTGGTATATGGTGGGTGCTCAATAAATGTTGACTATTGCTGAATGACAATACAGTGGAAACCTGATCTAAAACTTTTTGTTAAGAGGTTATAAGACAGCTGCTGAAAATTAGTTTTGGACTCAGACTCAAACTCTAGCTTGATCATGATGTCACTGTGTACTTTGAGCAAGTTACTTCCCCGAGTCTCTACTTCGTCTGTTAAACGGACCCAGAGATTGTTCCTCCCTGGATGGCTGTGAGGATCAAATGAACACAGCACGTCAGCTCTCAGAGCCAGAGCAGTCCTACCCTTGAGGACCCAGTGGCCCCATAGTGAGGTCAGTCTGTACTGCCCAGTCTATACTACTAGAGGCTACTCATGGCTTTGAGGTGAGGAAGGGTACCTTAACATGAAAGTTTCCCTCTAGGAAAACCTATAAATGTTGACTTTCCTCTCTTCTTCCATCTAGTTCCTGGCCCTGGCCAGTCTTGACTTTCCTTTATGATACCCAAGCTCTCCTCTGATGCTAAATTCAAATAAAGAAGCTTCCTCATTTACTGAGCACATCCATGGGTGCCAGAGTCCTCGGCTCCAGATGAGTCTTCAGGGCCACTTTCATTGGCTCATAGGTGATATCCCTCTTGTCCAGGAAGGCACAGAGCTCATACACCTCGGAAATAGTCTCAGTCAGGGGCAGCCGACAAGTTCCCAGCCAGTTTCTGCCCAGAGGAAAGGCCTGTTAGAGAGAATCTCAGCACTGCACCCCAAGGGAGTCCAGCCTGCCAACTTTTCATATCTAGAATGCCTTGCTCCTCACCCTGGCTCAAACCTTTGGTCACTAATATTTCCTGCTTTAACCAGAAATCTGGTGATGTCTTGTAGGAGACTGAACCTGGACACACAGGCTCACCATCTAGTTTGATCTATTTTCTAGACTCTGCCTAAGGTTCCACAAGCCAGGCCAGGGCCCAGCTACTCTGATTCTGCCTCCATAAGTATCTGCCCATGACATCTCAATTACTGTTTAGCAGCCTGCCATGGTCTTGGGAGATTACAAATACCATGTGTGCCTAGTAAAGAGGCTGGGGGTCTGAACATCAACCCTTTGCCTCCAAAGGCACTAGTCTTTGCCCTCTATGATATCAGGGATGGGACATCTCTGAGAGAGATGGGTGGTATGGGCCACAAAAGCCTGAAATGCCCAGGGTTGGCTGACCTTCTTCCCAGGGGCTCAGGAAAACCCACTTCTATGTTTAGTTTTGGTACCAATATATTTTGTGACCCTAAGAGAGTTGCCCCACTCTGAACATCAGTTTACCTTTCTATAAAACAGGATTAGAGTCCATGCTCCTGCACTAATGGAGGCACTCTGAGCTCATGCCTTGAGCCAAAGGCCAGGTATCACCTCCTTCAGGAAGCCTTCCTTGCTTTGCTTCTGGAGGTCACCCCCAGCTCTGGCCCTTCTGTGTATCTAGCAAGCCTCCCAAGGGTTGGGGTTGGGGAGGACCTTTGTAGAAAGATCTGCATGGCAGAGGAAGTATCTAGCACTCTGAGGGTTGTGACTGTGGCCTGGTCATCTTAGACCTAGAAGAGGGCTAAAAACAGCAATGGATTGCAAAAAACAGAAATATGAACCCAACTGAAGCCTTTGAACCTTGGGAACCCTTGTACTTGGCACTTGTACTCTCCTCTAAGACCTGAGTTTAGTGTTGGTGGTGGGTGTAGCTAAAAATTATGAGTTTGCCCCCAAGGACACTACTTCCCTCTGGCTCATGGGCAGGGCCCCAGGTTGGTTCCCGAGGAAAGGCAAAGACCAGCCTGAGTGGGACCAAGCTGCTCTCTGAAGAGGGCCTTACTTGACATGCTGAAAGAGGACCCCATTCCCTGTGATGTACAGTCTACTGCCGTCCAGCGTGCTCTCGATGCGGAGCTGTCCCAGTGCGGAGTCTGGGTACTTGACAAGCAGACCCAGGGCCATCATGTACAACGGCTTCACAGACTCCAGGCCTGCTGCATGGTTCCCCTTCCCAGGGCTCGGGGGAGCACAAGAGGTCCGGGAACAGCCACCTGTGCCGGTGAGAATGGGGTGACTCCTAGACCCCTCATGGTCATAACTATTGGAAGCTTTGGGTTTTGCTTCCTACTGCTGCCTTGAATTAGTACTAAAGAAGCTTAGAGGGAGCTAATTTCCTTGCACAGCCAAATCTGGATCTTCTCAAAATCACTATAATTTTTCAAATACTTAGATTGAAAGGTCAAGTTATTTATTGGGAGGTAGGGTTGGGGTGCTAATTTGCTCTATCATTAACATTTGAATTTCAGAAATTTCAGGAGAGCAGCCAATTGGCTCTAGCCTCTGCAGGAATCTCCCTTAGTTCCAAGCTCTGCTCTAATCATCCATGGGGGATTGGCAACCATCGCACAGAACCTGATCTGCATCACAAGCTTCTCAGATTCACAGCTCCTATCACTCCTGGGCAGAATTTTCCCCAGAGACAAACTATGTAGTGTTACTTTCAGATTGGGTACTTGGGTTGCTGGTTCATGGGCAGGACCTTGTTCTGCAGTGGGCACATGCACAATCTATAGGATCCTATCCCAGTGGCCACAATGGCCCAGTAGGCAAGCTGCTGGGTGATTTTCATGGATCATCTGCAGTCCTCTGAGTGACCCTACAGGAGGGGTCATGCCATCCTTGTATCACAGATGAGGAAACTATCCTGAGAGGCTGATTAAGTACTTGCCCCACACCACAAAACTAGGTGGGGCAGAGCTAGGATGTGAGGGCAGCTTTGCCCATCTCCAAGGCTACCAGAGCTGTTTTCCCTTTGTCATGTGTTTTATAAAAGGCAAAAACCATGCTTTGTATTTGAGGGCTGCTGCATTGTTTGCAGAGCCTGGCTGCAAATATGCTTTCCCTCCATCTTCACATAGCTCTTGTGGAACAGGCACTGCTCTACTCATCTCTCAATGACCATGTTCTCTGACAAAGAGAAGCTCTTGAAGGAGGGATTTGAACCCCCCCCCCACCTTAAGTGGATTGGAAGACCCTGGAACAGGCTTCTGAAACCTGCTGCAGGCTGCCACTACTTCCAGATAGGATAGCACTCCCATTTTGCCTGATGAGGAGACTGGGAGAGCTGGGCCTAAGCAAAGGGAAAGACCTTATTCCCATGGGTAAATGTCTGGTGATGCACAGGCCAAATTTCACATGTGTAAGTTCTATACGTTCTCAGCATGTCACACTGGGGTAGTTAGCTCCTTGCAGCATCCACAGTAGCTTCCATAGATGTGCAGGATGGGAAATGGGATGATAAAAGGCAAGTTAAAAAAACATGAGGAGGAAACTGGAATGAGGTAGGGCTGGGAGCATGAAGGCCTGGATTGGACCAGTTAGGAAGTGTCAGAAGACAGCAGAGACAGGCACAGCAGCCAGAGGTTGTGAAGTAGGGAAACAAGGAAATTTGGGAGTGGGTGAGATAACTGAAGCACTAATGGAGAATTTGCCTGAGAGTTTCCCATGCCCTCCAGCTATGCCTGGAAGAGATAGGATGGCAGTGTCAGTCCGGTGCTGCAAGTTCACAGTTGCTCACCACTTCTACAAGCAGGGCAGATCTACACACCCCTGGGAAGCTTGTGCTTGGGCCCAACCTCCCTCCCTAGGATCCTCAAGCCTGGTTTCCCCACCCAGGCTGGGCTGAGCTATCTACAGCTCAGTGGGACGCTGAGCAGACAGGGGGCACACAGGGCTTCAGTCTGAAATAGTTCTTCTAAGTCAGCCAAAACACCCGCCTCTTTCACCACTGCCTAAAGCCCAAAATGGTTGTGGGATGGAGGGGAGACATTTGTTCTTGGCTTTTCCAACTCAAGCCTGGACTGCCCCAGAATGTCAAGGGGAAGGCAAGGCTCCCCTGGTGACATACCCATGTTCATCCGGTACAACCTTATAGCTTCAGTGAGCTCAGGGATTTCCAGAATTTCCACTTCTGCTTCTAACACGTCTATATTGGAGAAATTATCTGGTAGTAAAATCTTCTGTGAGCGTAGAAAATTCACTTGAAAAGCAAAGGGAAACAAAATGATTAAGGAGGTTATTTCTGATTTAATCATAGGTCCAGGTTTTGGCAGGTTTGTGTACTGCAACATATCCTAGGCTTTCCTTGTTCTGAAACAAGTTCTAAACATACCTGGTTAGATTAGCTTTGAGCCTGTGGTTTCAAGGTGAAAGACCCCAAACTACTTTGTTTTCCTGTGTCTGAGTCCATGAGTTTGGCCTCCCTTGGCCTGACCTGGGAATCCCAGGCCAGGCCCTCCTGGTGAACAAACTGTGACTTCGAGACTTACCCTGTGAGTCTTGACCCAAGAGCAGGACATTCCAAAATGTCTGTCTTGCTGCTTACAGAGGAATGGCCCAGCTGAGCTGGGCCGGCAGGTGGCACTTGCAGTTTGTCCCTGCCTGGATTGCAGTGTGGGAGGCAGAGATGGAGCCAATGCTAATGTCCTGTGTGAATCAACTTGGAGATTCAGAAGCACATCAAGACAATTTTCCAGGTGACTGTAAAGTAGGAATGGCTGGGGTTCCAGGCATATGGGCCCCAGTACAACTTGGGTGTTTCCTGCCCTGTTCATCTAGGCAGCAGCAGTATCTTGGAATCAAAGAGCTCATTCAGTTCACATCCTGACCAGAGTGTGGAGGGAAAGAGGTTCTCTCTGTCCAGGGTTGAAGATATCCTCCCTCCCTAGGCCACGAGCTCAAGCAGACAATTTTACAATGATTCTGAGGAACCTTTCACCATACACCCTCCTTCTCTTTTATTCTGGATTTAGTGGATATGAGAGTAAGTAGGGACCATTCTTTAAAACAAAGGAATAGGAATAGGAAACCCTACTTCCTCATTTTATGGTGAGAGGAACTAAGGCCTGGAGCCCACCCAGATGGATACATAAAGGCAACCTACAGAGTAGCTGACTTTGGAGCCCAGCTTAAGGCCTTGCCCTTCACGCCAACTCCTGTGGCTCCTGATCACTGCAGGCAGCTGCCAGTTCCCCTTTATACAGGGAATAAAACAGCCCCGAGGTTCATGGGAGTCTAATGCCGGGAATCTGCTTGCCTTCCAGAATGCTCTGTCATGCCTCCACCACTTCAGCTGTTTCCAAGGCCCTAAGCGCCAAGCTGAGCCTCCATGAGGTGTGGATGGGGAGGGGTGGATAGACCCTATCAGCCCCCCACCCCCAGGATAGAGCAATCACCAATGAAGCGGAACTCGCTGCACTCGCACTCAATTAAGGCCACAGTCTCAGCCAGCCACAGCAGATTGTCTTCAGTCACCAGGCTTGGATACTTGGCCACTAGGTCTAGGGGCAGAAAACAGTAGTGTACTTCCTCTTCTGTGTCTAACAATGGTGTGTCCATGAGTCCCAAAGGTGCCTTATCATGTAGGCCTGGAAGAGAATGTGTAGAGGGGTATCACCACCTCTCAGAGGCCAGGGCTCTCACTGATCCCACGGTCCCGGAGGAAGCTGGAGAGATCAACCCAGCGATGGTCTGTGCCAGGTGCCTCCTTTTCCCTCCCCTCTAGAGGTAGCCCTAACAGCACACACAGGAGTATGGTGGGGAGGAAGACATAGAAATCTATTTTTTCTACAATGAAGGGCAGTAGGACATGTTGTTACATTTTAGCTTATGTACCCAAAGTCATTACTTTGGGGGTAACCCAAAGTTACCTATTTGGTTCTTTTTAATTGATCAAACCAACCATTGTAACTCACAGACAAAATAGATGCTTTTGACTCTCTTGGAAGCTCAAAACCCATCAATAATCATGACTGGCTGTTCTGGTGTCTCAGATAGGCCAATCCATATTGCAAGTTACCCAAGATATAGTGATCATTTTGGGACACTTCTTGTGTAGTAGTTAGAAGGGACTTGAAAGGTTGGTGGAGTTCTCTGACTACTAGGAGGGTGGAGAATGCAGCCCAGCCTTACCCAAGTGGAGCCAGCATGCAAAGGAACAAATGTGGCTCTCACTGATCCCAGGGATGTTTAGTTTCAGTGGGTAAGCAGGCTTAGAGAGGGCATGTTGTACAGTACAAGATCAAAGGAGATAGTGGGGAGGTAGAGAGATCATCCAAAACTAGTTCAGAAATCAGAGTACTCTCTGGATGGAAGCCACTTCTGTTAGGGTGAGAAGGGAAGCTGGTGTGGGCTATAGGAAAGGTCAGCCTGTGAGTATATACCTGTGAAGGCAGGGCTTTTTATAGGAAATTCTGAGGGTTTGCTGATACACTTCCATGTTCGCCAGTAGTTCAAAGATGCTCTCTCAGCAACAGGTATGTCTGCAGGCCGTACACGTAGGTGGTGTTTCCCTTCCTTCAGATTATCTAGAGTCTGTTAGATACAAAGAATTACTGCCTTGAAAATTCTAAATCATATAATTATCTACCAGTTCTAGCGCAAAATACCAGGAAAAATAGTGTGTGACTTACTTTGGTAAAGTGTGTTGAAATAAATTTAGTCAATCACACACAAAAATAAAAATTTAGGTCTACAAGATGATATGCTGATATCAAAATTTCAATAACTATCTTCTTATCTTTGAAATAATCCTTTTGGGTTATAATTTTAGGCTGATTAATAGAAATTTATTTTATGTAAGGTTAAAGAGTAATATATATTTAATCATTAAAAACTTGAGATTTTCTACCATTTCCCTTCAACAATTTGTATAACTGCTGTGATCTGCTTATTGTTTGTGTTCATCCTAATCTTGGAATGTGACCTAAGCAGGGAAGTGGAGGTGGCACAGGATACTACATTTTTCAAAGAACTTTTTTTTTAAAAGATTTATTTATTCATGAGAGACAGAAAGAGAGGTGGAAATGTAGGCAGAGGGAGAAGCAGGCTCCATGCAGGAAGCCCAATGTGGGACTCGATCCCAGATCCCAGAATCACGCCCTGAGCCAAAGGCAGATGCTCAACCGCTGAGCTACCCAGGCGTCCCTCAAAGCACTTTCATATACATTTACTCATTTACCCTGACACAGCTCTGTGAGATAGATGTGGTAAATGTCTGCATTCCCATTTTACTGATGACGCAATTGAGGTTAAAAGATTTGTGACTTGCTGAAGCAGTCTTCCACAACCAGAGTTCCTCCACTTGAAGGAGCAGCTGACCAGGGGTGGGTACATAAGATGAAGTACCCTAGGTAGACAGGCTGAAGCTTAGAGCAGGAGGTGGGCTGGTGCTACCCTTCACTTGGGTATTCTCCCTCAAGAGTTCTGAACAAGGGGCAGATTATCATAACATCAAGCTCATTTTTCTTGTCCCTACTCTAGAATAGTATTTTTCCCTAGAAATTTCTAGAGATAGCTGGAAAAGTAGTCTTAAAAAAAAAAGATTCCATTTATCTATTCATGAGAGACACACAGAGAGAGGCAGAGACACAGGCAGAGGGAGAAGCAGGATCCCTGCAGGGAGCCTGATGTGGGACTGGATCCCAGGACCCTGGGATCACGACCTGAGCCAAAGGCAGATGCTCAACCACTGAGCCACCCAGGCACCCCTAGAAAAGTAGTCTTTGAAAGGCATGGTATGACAATTTTTTTTTCTCTAAGAGCCTTTCTCTAAGAACACCTTAGATTTCAGTCTGAAACTATTAAAAGAACCTGCTTCTAATCTGAACTACACAAGTGAAAAAGCTCTTGTGAAGCTGCTCACAGGAAGCCCAAGCTTTGAAAGGGCCCTCTGGTGGCCATGGCTATAAACTGCACCCACATAACTGCTTAAGTGGGAGAATCTTCCTTACTTTGGATGACTGATGGACTTGTGGAAGGACTGGAAGATGTCTGGGTCGTGGGGAGTGCTTTTGGGGAGCACTGAGTAATGAGAGGGAAGAACAGGGTATGTGTAAAACACCAGGAGAGAGTCTGTCATTCATTCATTTAAGAAGTGGCTTGTATATCTCCAGGGCCACAGATACTGTGCCTTGACTCAAGTAGCTCTCAGCTTGGGAAAAAGAAAACCAATAATTTACATATACTAAAGTAAGAGCCAGCATAATTTCTGAAGTTTCCGGAGCTCCAAGAACCCTAGGATTTCTTTCCACTGCTTTGGAAGGAAAGGTAAGCTTTCTTGTCCCTCTTTGCTCAGGACTGTACACAACTTTAGCTTCTGTATCAGGCTGTCAGCAATCCTGAGGAGGGAAACTGGTGAGAGAGGGGTTTCTGTATCAGGGAGAAGTTGGCCCAGGCAAACAGAAATAAAAGTGAGGTACCAGGAAGGTGACAGAAAGACTGGAACAGCTTCTGCATTAGTGGATGAGCCTGATTGAGTAAAAATGAGATGATGATGATGGTAATAATATTATTAAAACAAATTATTATTAATTAATAATAATATTACATTATATTAGTGCATTATATTAGTGCATTATATTAGTGGATGAGCCTGCATTAGTGGATGAGCCTGATTATTGAGTAAAAATGAGATGATTATGGTAATGATAATATTATTAATTAATAATAATAATATTATAATGTGACGATATTTGTACTAAGTGGGATACAGAAAATGGTGACTGCACAGGAGGGACAGGACAGGTGGGAAGATGGTAGGTAGAGATACAAACTGGGCTACCTGTCTTTGTGCCTTGATTGTAGCCTTATGTGTATGGAGGTTGAGGGAAAGAGGGAGATGAATGTGGAGCAGTAAACAAGAGAGAGTAAAGGGCTCTGTAAGCTGGCCTGTGGAGTTCGATATGTCCTCTGGTAAAGGGAAGCCCCTATGACTTGACTGATATTCACACCGTCTCCACTCAGTTGGCCAGCAAGCCCCATGACTCCATGCCCTCCTCTTTGCTCCACCCTCTTCACCCTTTCCCTAAGGACGGGTCTCCCCAGACCCTCTCCATATAGTGACATTTCAAATATACAAATGAGTCCAAACCACTCTCCATCTTAAAAAATTTCAGACTTCCCGACTACCTAATGGGCATTCAAATTCTCCTTAGCTTTGCAAACAAGGTCCTTCACAATCAACAGAGGCAGCAGGATATACACAAAAAGCACAAAAGCCTTAAACTCAGACAGACTGAGGTTTGAATCTGGTTTGGTCACTTAAAAGCTGACATTTATTGCCCAGGCACTTTTTTAAAAAGATTTTATTTTTAAGTACTCTCTACATCCCAAACCCCAAGAACAAAAGTTGCCCATTGTACTGACTGAGCCAGCCAGACACCACAACCCAGGCATTTGTAAACTGAATCCACCTAATGCTCCCCCACAACTGCCACATACCAACTAGACTTTACTATTACCACTCCCTTTTAGCAAATGAGAGACAAGATCCAAGAAGCTAACAAGAATACACTGCCCCCCAAAAGTGGAGATGCTAGGAATGGAACCCAGGATTCTAGAGTCCATGCTCTTAACCATTGCTCTTAACCTGCTGCCTCCCATTTGTCACTTAACCTTTAGAAACCTCAGGCTCCTCACAGGCAAAGTGGAGATAGTAAAATCTGGAAGACGTTATTGTAAGGATTAAAGGAAATAATGTAAATTGGGATGCCTGGGTGGCTCAGCGGTTGAGTGAGTGTCTGCCTTCAGCTCACGGAGAGAACCTGGGGTTCTGGGATTGAGTACCACATCGGGCTTCCTGCATGGAGCCTGCTTCTCCCTCTGCCCATGTCTCTGCCTCTCTCTTTCTGTGTCTCTCATGAATAAATACATAAAATCTTAAAAAAAATAAAGGAAATAATATAAATGTTAGTTAATTTCCTTCCTCTTAGTGGTTGGATCCCAAACTACTTTTCCAGCATCCTCTCCTACCATTCTTTCTGTTTGCATCCCATCATCAGTGACACTAAACTCCATAAAATCCAAAGATACACCATGTTCTGTAATGCCCCCTCAACTTTCTATATGCTATTTCCTCTTCCCAGAACACTTTTATCCTCCATTCTCTGCTTTGAAAAGCCTGGAGCCTCCCCTAGCTAGAGCAAGTCATTCTCCTCCTCTGTTCCCACAGACCCCTCCAAACTTCTCTATGTGGGTTCCTGGCTTGGTTTCAGGCCTATCCCTTCAGGCTTTGGTGGGGAATGGATCCCAAGCTTCTAGTCTAGAACCTAATGTGTAGTAAATGCTCAAAATTGTTGTGTTAAATGAAAGAATGATGGGGATCCCTGGGTGGCGCAGCGGTTCGGCGCCTGCCTTTGGCCCAGGGCGCGATCCTGGAGACCCGGGATCGAATCCCACGTCGGGCTCCCGGTGCATGGAGCCTGCTTCTCCCTCTGCCTGTGTCTCTGCCTCTCTCTATCTGTGACTATCATAAATAAAAAATAAAAAAAAATTTAAATGAAAGAATGCATGTAAATAGAGAAAAGACTGAGTCCTCTGGAAAGAAAAGCAAAATAAGACATGAGGGAGCCCCAAATGAGCTGGCAGAGAAGACTGCGTTCACAAAAATTGAGAAAGATGCTGAGTATTCAAAACCATGGGAAAAGGGATTCCTGGGTGGCGCAGCGGTTTGGTGCCTGCCTTTGGCCCAGGGCGCGATCCTGGAGACCCGGGATCGAATCCCACGTCGGGCTCCCGGTGCATGGAGCCTGCTTCTCCCTCTGCCTGTGTCTCTCTCTCTCTCTCTCTCTCTCTGTGTGTGTGACTATCATAAAAAAAAAAAATTAAAATTAAAATTAAAAAAAAAAAAAACCAAACCATAGGAAAAGCCAATGGGCAATGTGATTAAAATAGGCAGTGCCCAGAGAGTTCAGAGGCCAGTGAAGGGAGTGATTCCAACGTGGGACCTAGAGTCCAGAGGGAAGTCCAGAGGGAAGATCTAAGGGAGAGAGGGACAAGGATGAAGAGGAGAGGGAGACAGGAAGACTGGATGAAAGGTCTCGACTTGGGCTTGATTGGTGAAGTAGAAAAAAAGAAAGCAAAACTAGGGAGATCCTACAAGAGACGGTAGACCATTTGAAATCCATGCTAGGGATACCTGGGTGGCTCAGTGGTTGGGAGTCTGCCTTTGGTTCAGGGTGTGATCCTGGTTGGGGACTGAGTCCTGCATCAGGCTCCCTGTGAGGCACCTGCTTCTCCTTCTGCCTGTATCTCTGCCTCTTTCTGTCTCTCATGAATAAATAAAATATTAAAAAAATAATAAACCCATGCTAAGCTGACTGCATCAGAAGAACTTGAACCTGCCATTTGTTTTCCTTGCAGATTCAAATGCTGAAATTCTGCCCCAGTGGAAGAAACAATAGTGCCCTTGAACAACTCTAAATTGGTCATTGTGAAAGAGATGCATTGAGGGAGGGAAATCTGCTTGAGAAAACAACCTGTTTGAGGACTGGCCTGGACTCCCTTTTCAGAGGTGCTTTTTGGTACCCAGGTAT